ATATATATATATATATATATATGATATTTCACTCAAAACATTTCAATACGCGAAGGTAAATTATATTGATAAATTATTCGTTCCTTACAATGAGATTAACTTTATCTGGATTAGAATAGTCCATATCATTTTGTATAAACCATAGTTTAAATTAGTTCTTTGTAAATAGAATCATCAATTTATAAAACGTGTAAACACCATATAGTTATTCCTTAAATTACATTGACCACTACATTTTTGCAGAGTTTATACTTGAATTTATTATACTGATTTCTGTGCTAGATGGGTCGTGGCCCAATAATCGATATGCGATGTGTGTATACCACTGAAGAAACTTCGCACTTTCAGCTGTTGGGTCATAAACGTAAGGCGTTACTGATTGGTTACTCTTCTTATTGTCAACATTTCAAATTAGGAATGGCTACTTTAACAATGAGACTGTATACGTGAAAATATCTTGTCGATTACGACCAAAATAACTTCGAGAAAAAAAAATATTCCTAGCATCATATAAAATGTAAGGGCACTAGGAAATACATTCACTCAGAAAGTCGAGAGCAGGAACTGTGCACGTACGAATAGTGAACCGAATTCTTACTATTCTAAAATAGTTCGCAAAAATATCCTTTAAACATGAGATGATTTGCATTTAAATCGCTAAACACATATAAAACAGTGCCTATAATAACTACATCTTAATATGTTAACGAAAATTTATGTAGTTGAAGTGCCCTGTGGCTTGTTAGTGTTCTGCGTTAAAGGATATCTTCAGATGGAAAGATAATAAGTATCGCTAAATATTTCATCATCCTCATGGTTTGAAGAAATGTGTTTATAAAGACTTCTTCGTCAACCCCACAATTTCCCAGCTCTGTAAAGTTCACCATAACTTACATTTTCGCTTAATCTGTATTATAATAATAATAATTAAGTAGATGTGCAGTTTGACTAATATTTTGAGCAGCAAAGTGCATACCCGGCTCTGCTCTTGGTGAAAGCCCGAGAGATTCGGTGAAAGTCTATAATGGACTTTCTTTTTGAAGCTCGTGTAATATCTTACCTTAAAATCTTTGCAGGTTACATGAAGGAGGCTGCATTCCTCCGTCTTTTTTCTCTTGAAATCGCAAAAAAAAAAAACGCGAACAAGTTGGCAAAAAATGAGTAAACTCTCTGTGAGGATTTTCAGTAGTGTTTATTCTCCAAGAAGATTGTTGTAAGACAGA